GCAGCAGCAGCAACAATCATAAAGAGTAGAAATCGTTGCCTGACTTTGGCTTTTTTCTGCCACTTTTTGTTGCGACAAGTGCGCTTAATTAGTGGGGGCCGGCAGCGGGCGAGGGGCCTGCGGAGCCGGCAGGGTTCTGGTGGATGGGTTCCGGCAGGCGAAACAAGACTAATGTCCAAAACTGTCATGCCCGTTCTTTGCAGAAGAAGCACAGCAGCAGGAGGAGACGGAGCAGCAGCAGGAGCAGCAGCCACCAAGATGTGTCCCAATCGGCATTGGCTAGTCAGCACAGAAACGAGCAAGGATGCCGCAGCGGGAACGGGAGCGCAAGCATCCAGAGCGGCGGCGGCGAGGAGGAGGCGCAGTCTAGACCAAATAGTAGAAGTATTAGTAGCCTTAATCTTAGTCAATTGCCTGGCCACGGCGGCGGCGGCCCTGATGATCACACCGCCCGACAGCCTCGAGTCCCTGGCATCGGCACCCGCATCCTACTCCGCCTCCTACCCGGCTGTCGACGATGAGGATGACGTGACCGGCTTCTACCGCAGCCCCCATCGCCTGAGCGGGTATCCCCAGATGCAGCAGCTCCAGCGAAGCCAGAACTTCAAGATCAGCCCCAAGCCGTGCTCCTTTGGGCGCGTGGAGGGCACCTGCATGTTCGTGTGGGAGTGTATCAAGTCGGAGGGCCGACACGTGGGCATGTGTGTCGACTCGTTCATGTTCGGCTCCTGTTGCACGCACAACGTCACCGACAACATAGTCCTGCCCCAGACGGCCTTCTCCTATACGAGGCCCACCAAGCCGCTCACGCTCCGTCCTAAGCCGCCGGCGCCCTACAAGCCACTAATCAGGTAAGTTTCCATACTAATTTTTAGTCGTATCCTTCTTAATTCTACTAATTATCCTGCAGTGGCATGACCACCATTGAACGTCCTCATGGCGCCGGCACCCTTGTTATTCGACCTTCGGGGCCGCACCACCAGGGAACTCTGGCCCGGCCGCATCCGCCACCCTACCAGAGCAAGCCCACCACCGCCTCCGACCTGCAGGGCTCCGCCTCGCACTCCAGTGGCAGCTCCAGCTCCGGTTCAAGTCCCAGTGAGTTCGGCCTGGCGCCTGGCGGTGCATTGTTAGCATCAATTGTAACAAACAAATACCCTCCGCAGATAGCATTTGGCATACATCGACCCAGCAGCAGCAGCAGCATCATCAGAATCAGCAGAACCACTGGCAGATGACCACCGAGCCGAGTTTTATTACCAAGCCGCGACCCACCGGCTGGACCAAGCCCGGCATCGTCAATTTGCCAATGCCCGCGCGACCCTCCAAGCCGTCGAAGCCCACAAAGAAACCAATTGTCTACGAGCGTCCTCCGCCACCTCCATCCCCCTCTTCCTCCACCGCCGCCTCCGCCTCAACGACATCCACAACGCCGATTTGGCCCGGCCAGACGCATCCCCTGCCCGCCCAGCCGCACCGCCCCACCCGGCCGCAGGTATGTAAATACGAGACTGGTTCGGACTCTAGGTCTTCTGGGTTCTTAGCTCTCCGTTCTGGGTTCTGGGTGATGCATTGATGTCGAAAGCGAAACAAACGAGCCACGAGGTCATTTACTCCTCGATCCTCCGCGACTCAAAGCTCGCAACTTGCAACTGAGCCCCATAATGGCAGGCCACAGCCTTGGGGGACATTTTATTGTTTGCACAATGCGGAGCCAGAGCCAAAAGTTGATGTAAGATTTGCCAGCCCGCTCTCAGGGGTGTGTGTGGAATTCAGGACCCTTCCAGGAAAGGGTACTTCACTGCAAGCCTTCAACTTGCTAATGCCAACTCCCGGAAAATGTTATATATCGTTTCCAAGAAAATTTAAATGGGTTGCTGTGGTACTAAACTAATATTTACTATTTTTTTTTAGGAACTATTACTTCTAGAAGAACGTTAGGAATTAACTAGCATAACCGGGGATTTGAAAAAGTATGTTTTCTTTTAAAATTTTGGGAGCTTTATTAAAGGATTAATTCGAAATAAAACAGTTGTATAAGATTTAATAAAATGACTACCAGACTTAGATTATGATATTAGGGTATTTATAAGCCGTGTAAAGTTCCCAAAAAGGTTCCCCACTTAATGCAGATTTAGCGGCGAAATGAAAAATTGATTCTTTGCATGGAACGGGAACTGGAATGGGAATGGGAATAGGGCTAAGAATGGAGAATGATTTGCTTGGTGGCTCTGGCCTGGTCGAGTATTTTAGCATAATGTTTACCACTTTGGCCTGCCTTGCAGCTGTCGCCGGGCACATCATTAGCGGCATCCTCGTCCTCGGTTTGGCCATCAACATCCACTTCGACGACATCCACATCAACAACCACAACAACAACAAAAGCAACCACGACAACCACTCGCCGAACAACCACACCGGCCACAACAACAACAACAACTACGACAAGGAGAACAACAACCAGCAAACCCACAAAGCCCTACCAGCGGCCCACCACGGCGATCTCAAGCTCCTCCACATCCACAACTGCAGGCAGTTCTCCTCCGAGCAAGACACCCACCACGTCCAGCGGTATCGTCACCGGAGGCAGCAGTAGTCATCGACCGATGCAGCCCACGCACCGACCACCAATCCTGGCCACCTCTGGGATCGAGACCAATGAGATAACGGACTCCTCCAGTCCGGATACGGGGGCGCTGGGTCATGTCAAGACTATTTCGGCAGCTCGAAGTGGTAAGAAATAGTAATATTAAATAGTACCTTACTTTTTTGAATGGTTTAGTCTGAAAGTATCAAGTATTTTAAAGATTTAGTACAATCCTAGGAATCTAATTGGTACTATGTGTTGTAGTAAACGAATAATCTAGTTTCTTTTGTTCATAGAGAAGAATTCAAAAATCCATGCCAACTAATATGAACTTCTCTTACCTTTCTTACCTCATACTTTGTATCACACCTGACATTGCAATTTGTTTTTGGTTCAATTGCAGAGTGCGGAGTGCCAACGCTGGCCCGGCCCGAGACACGGATCGTGGGCGGAAAGAGCGCGGCCTTCGGTCGTTGGCCCTGGCAGGTGTCGGTGCGGCGCACCTCCTTCTTCGGCTTCTCGAGCACCCACCGCTGCGGTGGCGCTTTGATCAACGAGAACTGGATAGCCACCGCCGGACACTGCGTCGACGAGTGAGTGTGAATGAATGGGCACTGCCCTGCCCTGTCCTGTCCTGTCCAAAACCGGACTAGATCTAGCTAATCTGTACCCTCTCCTCCACTCCCTTAGCCTGCTCATCTCACAGATACGCATCCGCGTGGGCGAGTACGACTTCTCGCATGTGCAGGAACAGCTGCCTTACATAGAGCGCGGCGTGGCCAAAAAGGTGGTGCATCCCAAGTACAGCTTCCTCACGTACGAGTACGACCTGGCGCTGGTCAAGCTGGAGCAGCCGCTCGAATTCGCTCCGCATGTCAGTCCCATTTGCCTGCCCGAGACGGAGAGTCTTCTAATTGGCATGAACGCCACGGTCACCGGCTGGGGTCGCCTCAGCGAGGGCGGCACCCTGCCCTCGGTCCTCCAAGAGGTGAGTGTCCAGTACTAGATTAGACGACAATGAAAACCAAAGCGAATCGAAAGAAGTCGGTATTCAGAGTAGATGCAATTAGGAAGTTTTGGAGATAGCTCTGGATATTAAACATATAGAGATGTGTCTATCCTTTCTTTTAAGAATTAATATATCTAGTAGATTTTATCGTCTTCCTAAACTTAATAATAAATGAAACTATTATTTAAATCATAGGTATCCGTGCCCATTGTCAGCAATGACAACTGCAAATCGATGTTCATGAGAGCAGGCCGCCAAGAATTCATCCCGGATATATTCCTCTGTGCTGGCTACGAGACAGGAGGTCAGGACTCCTGCCAAGGCGACTCAGGAGGACCATTACAGGTACAGCTATTAACAAAATACTCCTAAAACGCTGTTATAATCTAATTTGTTGTTCCAGGCCAAGGCACCGGACGGACGCTTCTTCCTGGCCGGGATCATCTCGTGGGGCATTGGCTGTGCCGAGGCCAATCTGCCTGGCGTCTGCACACGGATCTCCAAGTTCACACCCTGGATACTGGAACATGTCAGATGATAGGACACACTGCTGACCACGACAGCTCAACATTTGTTATTGTTTTAATTTATCAGTTGTATTGTATAAGTTTTGTGTGATTTATCTTAAAGGAATGTTAAGCGTAGTTAGCTTCAATTTAACAATTTTAACTGCATTGACCCGGACTTGGCCTTGTGTCCACACACACACCCATACACACAGTCAACGCCCACTAAGTTAGTCTAGCGAAAATGTTAGCGCAGTAAGAGCAGTCTAACTCGAAAATCGATCGGACATAGGGCTTTCGGAGGGGATTATCTATTTGTACATAGCCGATGGGATCGGAGAGAGTCATTTGAATGTCCACAAGTTGTTGGTAATTTTAGTGTAGTAATATTTAAAAATTAACTAAATCTATATTTATTGTAAAGAACCGCATGCAGGCATCGAAAACGGTGCTTGTATCTTGCCCAAAGATCAAGTATATCTGTAGCGTTGCGAAAGCTCGATAGCAATAAATGATTGCCGAAAATATTGTCTAATAATAAATACGTAGAACTCGAGATACATCTCCAAGTGACGGTTTCCGCTCCATCGCTTGTTTTGGCAATTGTAGACCCCGCGGGCACTGCTGGATCTCCATCTTCAATATCCATTCACATAATTTTTCAGCCATCAGCTGCGGGCCATGGAAGATGATTGGCACAATCGATTGCCACTTTCCTCCGAATTTCACTTTTCAACAGCTCCGCCAGTGACATTTGACTTGACACCAACACAGCCGCATGGCTGTACAATTAATCACTCGCCGATTCTGGCCCCGGCCACGGCCCACACACACAACACATCAGATACAGGTACTACAGTACGCTCAATGAGATACAAAGATACAGAGACGCTCTTCGAATTTCACTTTATCAACTTTAATGCCATAGATGTGGCAACAAGTACAACATACATAATTAAACTTCTGTTTCTTTTGTTTCACAATTTCGAAAAGAATCCAAGCACTGGGGCTTGGATCGTTGCACACATGACGGCCGAATCGGATAGTCGGGTGAGGATGAGTTGGATGCCTCGGGGAATTACTTCTTCTTGGGGAAGATTAGGTCTTTGGCTTCCTCGTATAGGTCGCTGGCCAAATACTTGAGGTCTTCCAGCGAGGTGGGGAACTTTTGAATAGGATCGATGGCCTCCTCGCCGGGCTTCACGCCCTTGACAAAGTTGTAGGCCACGGCGAAAATCTTGCGACCTTCGTACAGGACCACACGGCAGTTCTCCTCAGCTTGTCGGGGGTAGCAGAGAGAGGCCACCGCACTAGCACCGATGCCGGTATAGACCACCTTTTTGATGAAGCCACCGCGGGCGGCGAAGATGAATCCAGCCAGACCGCCCACCACGATAGCACCGCTGCGATGAAGGGAGTTTTGTGGTTCATTCAATGTGTCGATGGTGTGGCGAGTGTGCTCCTTAGCCGTCTCCCAGTACTGGCCCACGACGCCGGCCTGCCCAGCAACAGAGTTGTATCCGGATTGCAGCTCCTCCCGCACGTATCGCACTCCGCTCTCCAGGTTGCGGTGCAGCGCCGAGTCCTGAGTCTCGTCGCGATGGCGATCCACTTTCGGTCTGCAAGGGAATAATGTTCTATAGTGGGGCTCTACAGGTGCTAACTTACTGGCAAAGGACACCTACTGTGTCTTGCGCAGCGTGCCATAGATGGGCAGCTCACTGGGCCGGCAGACGAGGCTGCAGTCCTGTTTTGGGGGCTCCGGTGCCGCTTTTACGGCCGCCGCCGCCATAACTCCCATCGTCGCCGTCGCGCGCAGCATCTCGCAGGGTCAGAAATAGTACAGGAACTGCAGGATCGGTTCTGGTGTCTGTGTACACACGGAATTTGGGCAACTGATGGTGCTGTTAGGCAAGTTATGTATGTTTTTACCTCAATTGTTAGACATTGCGTAATGTGTCAAGGCACGGAACGACTGCCTGACACGGTTTGATGAAATAACGGCGCATGATGCCGCATTGGTTTAGTGGGCACGTGCTTGCCGATATATTGCGCTGTGTAAAATATTTCACCTAACTCATAAATAAAATTATAATTTAAAAATTGGGTAGTTTTTTTAAATTTATTTTTAATATTTTTGAATTTATGTCGGAGCAGATTCCTCACAACTATCGGTGAACCCGTCATAGAACTAGTTCCGTTCTGGTTTATGCAGAGTTCCGGGTCTGGTCTCACCAGTCACAAGACGCGAATTTTATTCGCACAGAAACATAAATAAACCAGCCTTAGCCCACTGATAAGCGGACCAGTAATCTTCAATGAAATCACTACTAACCGATAAAATCCCATCGACCACCTGCAAGCGCACGCACGACGGAACCGCCCCGGAAGAGTTTCTTCGCACCTGTGCGTCGTCGTAGCTAGTAGCCCACCGCCGCCCCCTTCGGCCCCTGGATGTTATCAGTTCGGTGGCGCGCTGAAACGCCTACTAAAAGCCCATACTAACCAGCCCCAGCACTAAAAACCATCCAGTGGGCGCGCACAAAAGGCCAGCGCTCAAGGACATCGAATAGTGTGTGAGCAGAGGTAGTGCCGCAAGGCTAGAGTGGCTTATAAATAAACGAAGGGCCAGTAACGAGAAATGTATATTGACATTTAAAGCAACCGCCCGCAGTTGCATTGCAGCAGCGCAGCAGCAGAGGCGGAAGCGGCCAGGTAACCGCCTCGTCAGGTAAACGTGCTTTGCATATCAAAATCAATTTTCGGGCCATGCAACTGCGGTTGGAACGGGGCTGACAGGCTTACCCATCCACGACCACAAACGACAAAAAGACACGCCAGCAATAGAAACTCTAGTCATTAGTTCATATGGATGCTACCACAAGTTCAAAGTTCAGGTAAGTGGCACACTTAACAGCTCGCCCATGACTCCTCATTCACGTGGCTTCAATTTATGTTTCATATTATGGACACCAGCGATGTGGACGAGTATGGCTTTAAGCGCGGTGAGCACTTCGACTACAAGAACTACTCAAAGTTCATGGAAGGTTACCTGAAGACGCTGACACGACGCCGCATTAAATGGGAGGTCATACTGCAACAGAACCAAGATCTCAGCCAGCCGGATGCCAAACTGAAGAGATACATCCGGAAAGGTATACCCAGTCCCTACCGTCCCGACGTCTGGATGAAAATATCCGGCGCCGCCGCCGCCCAGCGCCGCTCCCCGGATCTCTACCGAACCTTGCTTAACGACGAGCCGTATAACAAGGAAATCAGCGATTCCATATCAATCGATCTACCTCGTACCTTCCCTGACAATATCTACTTCGATACGAAAAAGGAACGCCTATACAACATCCTCATCGCCTACGCCCACCACAATCGGGATGTGGGCTACTGCCAAGGCCTCAACTACATCGCCGGCCTCCTCCTTATCGTCACGGACGACGAAGAGAAATCTTTTTGGCTGCTCAAGCACATTGTGGAGAATATTGTGCCGCAGTACCACTCGCACAACATGGCCAATCTGCTGAGAGATCTTGCAGTGTTTCGGGAACTAGTCATCCGTCGCATTCCAGCAGTTAATCGACATGTGGAAAATTTGGGTAAGATTTAAGCTTGTTATTGAGCGTGACACAGTTTTTTTCATGATAATTCAATGAGAATGAATAACTGGGATTTTTTTTTAATTATTCAGAATCTTAATAAAGTGAACATTCGCGTAATGGCTGTCATTAAAATATTTAATTAAATTGCCTATTTTTTCCCCAGGCCTTCCCTATCCGGTGATTGCCAGCAAGTGGTTCATCTGTATCTTTGCCGAGGTGCTTCCTGTGGAGACGGTGCTGCGCATTTGGGACTGCGTCTTTGCGGAAGGCTATAAGATCGTTTTTCGAGCCGCTCTGGCCATGTTCCTCACCCACAAGAACGCGATATTGGCATGTGATGACATTGCTGCTCTGGCCAATTTATTTCGGGACACTATGATCCAGGACAGCGTGGTGACAGACTGTCACGGTTTTGTGGAGTCAATGTTTGCGTTGCGTCTAAAACGCAGCGAGCTGGAGAGTCTACGGCAGGTGGCCGTCCTCAATCCAAACTAAAATCCGCAAAAATAGCGGCGAACAGAAGATCAAACTTAAACCTTAAAACAAAAAACAAAAACAATTTGGAGAAGCAATCGAAAAATTCAATTATTAGGAGCGTAGTTCAACTGTGTCATTACGTATATATGTTCATAATTATGTGTCTGAATTATGTAATCGTTTCTATATAGTACGTATCTGTATGTGCGCGCATTTGTATTACCTCTGCAGCCCAATTGTAGACAAGGCCAAATAATTCGAGTATTAGCCAACGAAATCAAACGAGTTACCAAAGCAAAATTTAAAAAGAAAGCCGAACCGAACAGAACAATATTGAACAGATTAATTAATAGAATGTATCGTAGGTACGACTGTAGTCGAAGTAGTAGCCAAAATTTCCTAGTTGATATCTTCCCGCGTGTAGACCATTTAAAACATGTATGTAGGTACGTGTCTAATCCATTCGCATCGCATTTAGTCAACGTTTCACTAACAAATTTTTGTCGTATGTTTAGTTTTCTTGTTGATCAGAAAAGTATTTATTTTTGAGTATATATGTTCTTTGATAGGATGCTATGTAAATGTCTACTTCTAGATTGAACACAATGTATTTACTTTTATATGTATAAAAATGCTTTTAAAGTTGTTACATATATAGTTGCTATAACTATAAATCGTCTGTTAGCTGCAATCGATTCGATTTCTTGAATCGGTTGCCCAATACTCACTATTTACAACAGATATATCCTGAAATATGATTTGAGGAATTGATTTGTGAATGCATTAGCCCAAGGCCTTGAAACCCCACCAACTATTTCTGAAAATGAGAGCGGGTTTCAACGGCTGGAGGGACATGTCTTGAATGCAGCCAACAGCATAAATTCAAATAAAATACTATTGCTAATTGTTAGTAACTGTAGAAATCTGTACAGCCTTAAACTCAATTTGGGAAAGGGAAGACTTTATTGGCTTCTTCAAGGAAGACCAGTTTCAGATGGGTTCTACTGCTTTTAGCAATGGATGAGGCTAGGCCTGTTGCTTCCTGAGACACCCATCCTATGGCATTCCGCAATGGGCTCCACACATGGGCTCTGATGAAAGAGCCAGCGAAGTAAGCAATGTCCTTCGACCTGGATGGACTCCCAAATTCTCCCAGTTAATCCAGGACAACCGAGCGGTGAGATCTGCAAAGCATAGATGTGTTAGGAACTACTCCAAGGATAATAAAAGGGTCTTTACTCACCACTTGTATTCCAATTGGCACGATCTGCTTTGATCTCTCCCCGTAGACACTTCTCCACATAGGTAAGTGGATCGTAGTCGGTCTGGAGCACTTCCCTTAGCAAGGATATGTAGGCAATGGCCAGGCGCAGTGTGTCGATCTTGCTTAGACGCTTCTCGTACGGAAAAGTGGGCACATGGACCCTCAGCTCATCAAAGGCGGAATTTATACTACTGCAAGACGTAAGAAAAGAGGAATCGTGGAAGGCTCGTTAGTACAGAGTCCAGGACTTTTTCGGGGTCAGAATGTGTAAAATGGAAAAGACCATTTGGTGTACCCAGTTGGTGCGGACCTCTGGATGCGTTTCCTCTCCCGCACATTGGCCGCTTGTCGCTGCATTTTGTAGCTCGTGGCTGCACTGGCTCCTCCCACAGAACCATATCCAGGATTAGAGCCGACTCCGCCGGGTGTCCCAGCTCCTCCGTTGCCGCCGCCTCCCCCACTGCTGCTGGCACTGGGACTATTGCACAGAAGGGGAGCACCTCCACCGCCGGAATTGTGGACCCCCATGGAATTGGTAGAAGAATCCAGTAGGTTTTCTGGAAAGTTTAAATTTTGTCTAAGCTTTACAATAATTTTTTTTGGTTAAAAATTTGAATGACGTCTTACCTCCACTGTGTTGCATATAATGCTGTTGCATGTGCCGCAGATTGCTTGAGCTGAGACGCAGTCCAGTGTTGCTATTGCCTCCACCGGAACCTCCACCGGGTGTACTGCCTCCCTGATGCTGTCCCGCATATATGCAGGACGGCAGATCGTTAATTAGGTCATCATCAAAGTTGTGAAAGGGTAAGTGACTAGAAAAAGGATATATTAAATATATATCATTACATAAATTTTTTAAAAAATTTATTGAAGTTGCCGACGGGTTGACCAAAGATAAATTACATTTAGTTATTCAATTAAGAATATTTGAAAAAACTTTAAATCTTCCACTGTAGATTTTTAATAAGGTAATTAACTATTTAAATTTTTTATTAATAATTTTGTTTTATGTTTAATTTTTTTTTTAAGACTATTCGTTTATACACATTTGTACTATTTTTTTAGATATGTACATGTATTTATTAGCTTAGAATTAAATCACTTCTTAAAATTTTTAATTGGTTTAGCTTCAGTTGAAAAAATATATTTTCACAATATATTGTTTTTTAAAAAAATCTCTACCTTATGGGCGGTGACGAAGACGAGTCTGGTAATTGATTTCGCGACATTTCTTTCACCTTGATTTTTTCACTTATTAGTTTGCACTATTTTATTAGCACTATATTTTCACTTCCGTTTTCCAATAAGTTTGAATGTTTAATGAGTCCTTCTCCAGGGATTTGAGAGCCTTTTATAGTGCTGCAGTTCCAATTGGAAATTCTACTACTCCAGCAAGGACCTCATCCACCCCTAAGCATCCTGGCAGCCAGTCGCCGTTTGCCCTCAACTCGATGGGCGGAGCTTGGCAAGTACAGGGTGTCTTCCATTTGCGAAAGGAAGCGGATGCTGTGGGAAATCCTTTCGACTTTGACGAACTTTTTTGCCCTTCGTATTGGTAGTAGTATGGTTAATTATGGTAATTAATTAGACGGGTTTCCGGAAGTTTGACAAAATTATGGAAAAGGTATTTTATATTTTTTAGGAGATTTAATTTATAGGTTTATCATTTTTAAGAATACTATTTCTCAACTAAATTGAACGATATAATTTAATAGAACTAAATTAAGACCAGTATTTTACGAATCAACAGTATTAGTAGCTTATTTTACACTTAAAAAAAATTTTTATTAAACATATTTGATAGTAGCGGTCTTTTAGGCCATCATAACTCAACTTCTTTCTATTTTAGCCCCTCCTCATCCGACCCAGTCTGGGCTTTGTGCTTCCTTCACCTGTTTTTGACATTTTGCCATTATATTTCGCTCAGCAGGCAGCCGCCATGTTTGTACCCACAGCTTTGATGGGGGAGGTCGACAAGTAAAAAGGAAACTGAAGAGGGGAGTCAGGTCTTTCCTCCCCCGAAAAAACCAATGACTACCCCTTAAGCAAAACCCTTTACCCCCTAAAAATAAGCCATATGGAATACCAGGACTTTAACGAAAGTCTGGCAGTCAAAAAGTCTGTCTGTAATCGGAGTCCAATATAGGGGCCATAGAACCTGTTGATATGAGTCGACACCCGAGCTAGATTCCCACGGGATCTGGGAATCAGAATCAGAGCAATTAGATCCACAACAGATAGATCCGGCCGCTACATTTTACGGATCATTTAACATAACCAGAACCAGAATCAGGACCCTGATAGACAAAGGGGATCAGGAACCACTCGAAGCCGCAGTCTCTGTCAACAGACGTCACGGGGCAATTGTTGAAATTGAATTATGCTTATTTGATGTTTTGGTTTGCACTCAAATTAGCTACGTCAGCTTTCGAACCAACTACAGTTCGGCCCGCCCAGCCAGGCGACCCAGGTCACGTGGCCTGACCCCGAGGCGCGAAAATCCAGAGCAGTCCGATCCGGCGAACAAAGGACCGGCAATATGTCAGGGCGGATGCGCAAACCTTTTCATTACCAGACAAATTTGCTTGTCGCACGCGTCGGCGCACACTTCGAACCCTTCGGACACCCCCTCGCACCCAGACCTCTGGGGTCTGATGACAGTAATCAGGTTTGATGGAGGGTAAGTGGCCGAATCCGAGGCGGAACCCGGGTCCAAACCGATTGAGCGGCAGATAGGAGCGTGGTGCCGGGCACAAAGCTGACATCCTTAAGTGAAATCTTGTTACAAACCAATGTAAACACGATTGTTAATTTAACTTTTGGAATCGCCGCAGGAAAACCGCCCTAGGAACGGGTACTTCCCCGTGGATGAAGCTGTGTGTGGTGCAGTGAGCCGGAGTTGTCATCGCACCACAATTAAATTATCGCATTTCAAACGAGTGCACTGAAGGAGGTGGAATACCGCCGACTGTGGGAAAACCAAAAATAAATACAATGAATATCCTAAGCCCATTTGATTTGCATATATGGATGAGAAAGCCTAAAAGGTAATCCTCAAGGAGCATGGTAATTTAAGGATAGGGTTATAATCCTAACAGCTAATTGAGTTGGAAGTTTTATGGGAATTCATAGAGAAACAAAAATTACAGCTTTTATATATTTTTTGTAATCTTTAAGTCTATATTATATAATCTTTAAATGTCTGAAGTTTATGTAGCACCTTATATTAATAGTAATACCTTATAAAACCAAATTTTGTTCAAGAATTATCTCATGCCCAGAGTCTTAATTGAATAGCGTCACCATTCAGATTAAATTTCAATCAACTTTGCTCTTTTAGGTAAAGAAACTTATTTTTATTTTGATTATCAAAGAGATTAAAAGACTTGGTCTAAAATAGGTTATCTTGGCCACCTGCTCACGTAAAAAATATGAGATTTTAAAATAGATCAAAGTACGTTTCTAATCAAACAAGTTATATTTTAAAGCCAAGACTATCTATCTAAACTTTTATAAATAAAAACCCAACCCCTCTACAATTTTAACGATTTCACAATGCGATAATTGAATCAAACAGTTCCCACACACATAATAAACACTGAGAAAACAGATTGATAGTGTCAAGGAGATTCTGGCCCAGCCATCAACCGCAGGCTACCCTATTCTGACAGGACACGGACGAAGGACCTATGTCTGGTACATATCGATTAGCGCTTTGCATCCAAACCAGAGCAAATCCATTCCAACGGCACACGACCCAAGTACCAAACACTTTTCCGCCAGGATAATCCCACCCCACCCCAAAGGATAACATCCCCCTTCCATCGACCGCAATTCGCTGTGGCTGCTTGGAACTGCCTCGGAGCAATTGTCTGCGAAATTGTTTGTTTATTTTGATGTTGCCTAATGCGTGGTAAGTCCCCGCCATTTGATGCGGTACGATTCGCCGTGGTCGAAAGTCCTGGGAAAAGCAAACATCCTTGGCGCCCAAGCCAGAGGTTAGTTTTCGCTTCAAAGGGAGAGCTTTTCAAAGAGCTTAGGCGGGAAAGGAAAGCTGGTGGGAAAATTGTCTACTGAGATTATTCGATGGGGGATATTTTGGAGCTTTGTTGTAAGGATATTGTTCGGGGGGCTTGAACTTTAAAAATAAACTTAAATTCGTTTTGTACCAGTAGGTTTAAGTAATAACCTTCAAAATACTTAATCCTACAATGAGAAAAACTTCATCTTCCGAATAAGTTATTGACCAAATTAAATAAAAAATTGTTATTTTCTCTTTGTTTTATACCCTTGAAGAGGGTAATATAATTTTGGTCAAGAGAGTAAATCGCAGTGAAAAAGACATCAGCCTTCACCGTGGGCCATTAAAAGGAAAACCGCATTATCAAGGGATCCCATCACAAAAAAATGGACAAAAAATCTAAAAAATATTTTGTCTCAGGATTTTGATGCAGAATGGTGGCAAATCAATCCAGAAATCGTTTAAGGTACTCCGCTTAAGAATAGGATGAGAATTGGGGAAGATAGAGCCATCACTGTGGACCCCATAGGGAAAAACACCATTTTCAAGGGATCCCATCACGAGAAATGGACAAAAAATTTAAAAAATATTTTGTCTCAGGATTTTGATGCAGAATGGTGGCAAATCAATCCAGAAATCGTTTAAGGTACTCCGCTTAAGAATCGGATGAGAATTGGGGAAGATATAGCTATCACTGTGGACACCATAGGGGAAAACACCATTTTCAAGGGATCCCATCACGAAAAATGGACAAAAAATCTAAAAAATATTTTGTCTCAGGATTTTGATAAAGAATGGTGGCAAATCGGTCCAGAAATCGTTTAAGGTACTCCGCTTAAGAATCGGATGAGAATTGGTGAAGATATAGCCATCACTGTGGACCCCAAAGGGGAAAACTCCATTTTCAAGGGATCCCATCACGAAAAATGGACAAAATATCTAAAAATTTTTTGTCTCAGGATTTTGATGCAGAATGGTGGCAAATCGATCCAGAAATCGTTTAAGGTACTCCGCTTAAGAATAGGATGAGAATTGGTGAAGATATCACTGTGGACCCCATAAGGGAAAACTCCATTTTCAAGGGATCCCATCACGAAAAATGGACAAAATATCTAAAAAATTTTTTGTCTCAGGATTTTGATGCAGAATGGTGGCAAATCGATCCAGAAATCGTTTAAGGTACTCCGCTTAAGAATAGGATGAGAATTGGGGAAGATAGAGCCATCACTGTGGACCCCATAGGGAAAAACACCATTTCCAAGGGATCCCAACACGAAAAATGGACAAAAAATCTAAAAAATATTTTGTCTCAGGATTTTGATGCAGAATGGTGGCAAATCAATCCAGAAATCGTTTAAGGTACTCCGCTTAAGAATCGGATGAGAATTGGGGAAGATATAGCCATCACTGTGGACACCATAGGGGAAAACACCATTTTCAAGTTATCCCATCACGAAAAATGGACAAAAAATCTAAAAAATATTTTGCCTCAGGATTTTGATAAAGAATGGTGGCAAATCGGTCCAGAAATCGTTTAAGGTACTCCGCTTAAGAATCGGATGAGAATTGGTGAAGATATAGCCATCACTGTGGACCCCATGGGGGAAAACTCCATTTTCAAGGGATCCCATCACGAAAAATGGACAAAATATCTAAAAAATTTTTTGTCTCAGGATTTTGATGCAGAATGGTGGCAAATCGATCCAGAAATCGTTTAAGGTACTCCGCTTAAGAATAGGATGAGAATTGGGGAAGATAGAGCCATCACTGTGGACCCCATAGGGAAAAACACCATTTTCAAGGGATCCCAACACGAAAAATGGACAAAATATCTAAAAAATATTTTGTCTCAGGATTTTGATGCAGAATGGTGGCAAATCGATCCAGAAATCGTTTAAGGTACTCCGCTTAAGAATCGGATGAGAATTGGTGAAGATATAGCCATCACTGTGGACCCCATAGGGGAAAACTCCATTTTCAAGGGATCCCATCACGAAAAATGGACAAAATATCTAAAAAATTTTTTGTCTCAGGATTTTGATGCAGAATGGTGGCAAATCGATCCAGAAATCGTTTAAGGTTCTTCGCTTTAAAATTGGATACGAATCGGGGAAATTATATCCTACAGTTGCAATATAACTGAACAATCGGAAATTTTTTTTTATTTTTTTGTAAAAATACCAACTTTAGCTTGGAATTTTTTTTTTTATGTTTTGTATTCTAATAAATTGGTTTTAAAAATAAAACCGATAAAATATAACCGCAAGGGTATATCGACTTCGGCTCCGCCCGAAGTTAGCTTTCCTTTCTTGTTTTGCATTATAAAATAAATTTCAATTCTTTTGTCGCTTTAAATAAAACCTCTTATTACGCAATCCTCAAACTTAATGTACAAATAAGGAAGAAATAAATTCCCAGTAATTCGAAACCCCGATTATCGTTAATATTTTAATTTGAATAATAATTTATGGGAGTTAAGGTATTCCCCAAAGTCAAGGAGTCAAGTGGAACTTTTGGCAAACCTTTTCACGCTTCTCCCGCATTTGCATATCACTCGACAAAAGTCTGTCAACGGGCAATCATTCAGGCCAACTAATTCGAGAGGAGCATGTTATAGTAGTACTATGGGTTTTTCGGGGGTTCATGCAAGTTCAGAGATTCGCTCGGGGATGACATTCAGCTGTCACCCGCCCACTTCTCGTCATTTCCCGACGATGGGCCGGTTGATGGGCAGGCAAGCGTATAGCTTTTAGTTCAAGTTTAGTGTTTAGTGATCAATGAACGTGTAAATACATTTTAATGAGCGCGAAATGAGCGGACTGGCTGCTGCTGTTCTTTGTGCTGTTAATTGTAAAACAAAACCAAAACAAATAAGTGATACAAAAAACGGTGAAATAAACATACACATTAAGAGACTAGTCCGAAACTTAAATACTCTTTTATTTATTAAATAAGCTTACTATTAAATAGCTCACTATGAAGAAATACGTTTAATTAGCTATATTAAACATAAAGAATATTAAAATATCTACCAATATTTAAGGATATCTGGTATACTGTGTATATCTTAAAATAGTATTATCCAATTCATTTAGTTATTATTTACCAATCAAACATTTAAACAATCCCATCATACCTTCTGCTGCGACGAAAAATTGGCGGTGAGAATCGTAAATTTCGGTTGCCGCTGCCGAAGGCGAAGCCAGTCGCTTGGGGCTCCGGAGCTCCGGGGCTCTGACCAGACCCACTCGTTGGGTCGGTTAGTTAGCCACTGTCCGCTGCTCAGATCGCACGTCTCGCCAAAAAGCCGCTACCGAGAGTTCCGGAGATCTCATAACTATAGTGTGATAGAGGGTCAAGCTCATCCCGGTTTTATCGGGGCACCCATTGAACCACTGCTCGGGGAATTATTGGAGAGTAATGCCAGCGAATGCCAGCACGTCTGGCCAATTTCGGGCAATTGGAACGTGATTTATGTGGGGCAGCGGTTCCGATTCCGATTCAGAGTTCGAGTTCCGCGAGTCCGAGTGGGTCCCGCGAATTTCGCAGGGTCGCGGTGTCGCAGTGTCGCAGAGTCGCAGTTCCCGAACGGAACCCCGCCATTGCCGGGTTGATAAGCGCCGCGAGTGATAAGACGAAGTCCATAGGGGCGCCAAGTCGTAAATTAAAGCGAAGGAGAAGCGGCCACCGAATTAGAAATAGAAATCGCAATCAGAAACGACGCTCCGCATATCACAATAATTAGTATATAATCATTAATCAAAGCCAATATTAAAAGTATAAACAAAGTGCCGAAAAAGTAGCAAAAATGTCAAAGCGTGCAAGCTTAACCCATGACAGCCCGGCCCTGGAACTGGAGCTGCCGTTGCTGGCGCCCCAGGAGCGGAATCAGCGGCGCAGGAGCGGCAGCGGGACAAGTGAGTAGCATGTGCCTCTCCCCACTGGGCCATTAAACCAGTTAACTTGGTCAAAACAAGCTAACTGGCACACCACACAGCCATACTTGGCCATAAATCAGTGACACTTGCACATTGCAGTGGAGCCGGCGGAGTTTGGGGTTACGGGGGGCTTAAATGCTACGGACTTTGAATAGCGAGTTCCCCAATCAAACGTGAATGCGAATTATTTGTATGCCATTTAATTTATTGAAATCGTGTAGCGCCAACCTAAGCTAATTAGAATATATCCAGTATGGAATGAGCCAAACAAAACTCTTGCCTGAAATCGAAAGCCAGGGCACTTGATTTAGACTGAAGTCGAGCCCCTCCCTTGTCGGACGAATATTTCACCCCCTTCGGCTATTTATTTAACCCCGTTTGCCCAGCCTTTGACTTGCTTCATTGATAAAACCTCGGTGTCATTTTGTTTCCCACTCAATAGCTAATTATTTCTGTCGTTGGTGAATTAAAAATAAACCCAGAACAATTTGCATTTTATTTGCCTAACCACAGCAACAACAATAAAGGCGAAAAAAAAACTACAGGCACCTCAACAACAACAAATACAACAAAAACAACATTGTTTATTGTACGAGAATTGTAAAATGATTAGGGTGCATTTTGAATAGCACGCTTTTGAAGCAGAAATCGCATGCGATAAATTTTGTTGTTTACTTTCAAGCTGTGAATGAATTGGAGATAAGGGTGGGAAATTCTTTATCAGCAAAGGGGGTAAGGGAATAAAAATATAATATATGGTATATAGTCATATTTTGGACTTCCACTATTAGGTTAAGTATTTTTATTAAGATTTTAATTATACAAATTTTTTAATAAAAACATAACTTTGAAATTTTGAAATGTAACAAACCTTTCTCAAAACTATTAAGGTCCAATTTGATTATTAGGCTTGATTTAAATTAGTTTATGATTAGCACAAATTGTATTTCATTCACAAATTTTTCTAAATATATTCATTGAAATGTCCTATTCGACAACCTCCGCAAACCGATGACACATTTATTATTTTCGACAAGCACCTTTCATCAAAGAATGCTATAAATTTAATCTCACAATTAGATCGTGGCATTTCCTCGGGGGTTGGGGGACGATCAACAGGATGAATGAGTAATCTTCCGTTTATGAGTAATACAATTGGTCGACTCTTTGGCATTTATATTTTTTAATCAACATGGATATAAGAACTTTAAGACAGTAAACAGATATCTAAAGTTTTGCCAAATATTTGAACTGATATATAAGCTTACAGTTTAATTTCACAATTATCACCATTTATGGCGCTTAATTAGCAACTATATTGCAAAGAAACAAACGAATCTTGTTGTTATCTTTGTTGGGGCAGCTCCGATGGCAACTTTGTCTTGAGTCGTTTCATTTAACACAAATAAATAATAAATTTTTGGCGTAATGAGACAAACTAACAATAAACAAGCAGCAGACCCCATGGACCCCTAGTCATAAATCAATCATAAACGAGCACAGTCTATAGCCGAAATTCGTTCGCAATTATTAAAGAATCTCCCTATCAATAATATAATCATAACACCATGCACAACAACAATGGGAAGCAGTCAATTGCCATTAAGCAATCATCGTAGCCAACTAACCAGCCCGAAATAAATACGCAAACCAAAACAAAAGACCCAGCAATATAGATGTGTCAGAATTGTATTTGATGTGATCTATCAGGCAAATTGTTGACGGACAGCGACATTAGCGCGGACTGGGTGTCAACTGCCTCTGTTCACAGCTCGGCACGCTCCGGGGATCCGATGATCCACCGATTTCCATCTCTCGATCTGCTCACTCCTCCGATCTCCCACATCAGCGGCGTTTGGCTATACAATTGATTTATATGTTGACAGTCCCAATGAGAATGCAAATTGCCAACTAAATGCATCCTTTGCTTTTGTTTTTGTCGACTGTTGAATGCACTATTCAAGACAATTTAAATTTGTAGGATGAGGGAGGCTGAATTTTATAAACTAAACACATTTTTTTGCAATATTGTTGGATTGTTTTGTAAAATGTTCTTTTGTCATCTCATATTTTTACAATTACATTAGCTTTTAGGGTTACAAGTTACTTATCTCTTTATATTAAGGTTAATTTCTCTATAATAATGATGTATAATACTTAATAAGATAAGAATCCTTTTCTCTTGAAGAAATTTGTCATGATATAACTATATACTCATTTGAACTGTGGTCTTGGTTTATGACTAATAGGACAGCAATTTAAAATTAATCATTTATTATGCAAAAATATCTTTATATTCTTAGTACTTAGTAGTTAGTACTTAGTGAGCACAAAAAATTCCTAGAAAGTACTTTTAGGGACCTAATCGGCCTTTATTACTCATACGCAGTGTTGACCTATTTCTGATATAACGCATTTTTTCTTATTTGGCGAAAGTTGTTTTGTTTGGGGGGAAATATAAGTTATAATGTATAAATATAACCTTTAATACCGTATTGCTCTAATAGCTTCTATTTGATTTTAATAAACTAAAAACTGAAATATAAAAATAATAATGGAAGTCAAATAGATTGTTTCTTTATTCATTAACCCTGTTTATTATTGTGTTATAAAGTGCATCATAATGTTGCACAAACTCTCTGTTGGGGGCAGTGTATTGCAGCAATGCCGGCGATTAAATAACAACAGCAACAGTTTTGCGCGCCACGCGAGGCGCGTATTTAAGAGACCCCCAGAGTCGTCGGGCCGCTAAGAGAACGCTTCGGAAGGTGAAAGAGAACTCGCATCAGGTGCAGTGGCTGCGGCAGCAAAATCAAAATCAAAGCCAGAAGCAACAACACACGACGTCGCGTCGGCTGGCAAAGAATGGTCCAAACTAGCAGCAGGCGAGCATCGTGTCCCCACAGACGCCGACGCTGGCATCGACGCTAACGTCGACGCTGGGGGGAGTGCTGTGGGCCGAGGGCCGAGGGGCGAGGGCACAAGGTTATAAAAGTTCTTCGCTTTGGAGACGAGCGCTCAGTTGCTCTTGGTCAGTCGTTGTGTGATGAACTTGAACGCGCAACAGCCTCCGCCCCCGTTCGGATATCGAGTCTCAATCTGATGGTTTTCATCTTCATCTTCGCCTAGGAAATAGTGCGAATCAAGAGCAGGAAGAGTTCTTTTCGGGTTCGCGGTTCGCGGTACGAGATACGAGATACGCGGTGTGGGTGCGTGAGTGCGCATAGTATAAAATTAAATTAATGAAACAACAGAAACGGCAACAGCAACAGCAACAGAAACAAATGCGAGTGGCAACAATGATGCTATATATAATGAGAAACGAGATGTGCTAATATATAGACGCTGGGACTCATGATTCCGCCTAAAGACAAGCAGCCAGACAATGTTTGGACAACCCATAAATAATGAGAGCGGCCAGAAGCGACCCACACAGCGCTTCTGACTCTGAAATTTCATAATTTTTCTCTATTATTGTGATTATTATTATTATTATCATTTGACTTTGTTAATTATTGCTTGATCTAGTAGCTACTATTGTTTACCACTCGTGTTTGTTTCCAAGTTGCAATTATGGCTGCCAGTTTGGCCAAAAACGCGGGCAATTATTTTCGTTTCGTACCACGTTGCGTATGAGCGATGGCCACTGAACTGCATCTGAATCACCCTTTTCTGACCACGTGTCGGATACTTAATACGTATATAATTTCTAGAGGCGCTCGTAAAATCAGACAACAGCAAAAGCAAACCGAATGAAAAAAAAACTGATGTCTGATTTTATATGTCAGTTTCCGTTTAGTGCGCTTCAGCCCATAAATTTACCCCGAAACGTATAAAGAAAAACAAACGCAGGCAGTGCCGAGGCGACAAACGTGCGACGGATTTCCGCGCCAAGACATCATCAAAACAAAGCTCCGGCCCAGCACAGTGGCAACAGGAAGCGGACTAGGAAGTTGCCATCAGGTATCAGCCTGGCAATTGTGCAGCAGGACGCGTGCTGCAGGATTGCCTGCATTTGTGTCGCCACGCAAAAGCAACAATAACAGCAACAGCAATAGCAACAGCATCAGCCAAAGAAAAAGCAGAAGCAACATAGCAGCATCAGCACAGTAGCAACTTGCTTTGTATATCCATAAGGTAAGCTCATTACGGACACGGGCTGCCTTGCGATGTTGACAACGAAGCATAGCATATAAGTACACAAAAAGAAATTAAACAGAAAAAAAGGAGCTTTATTAAATAAATAAGTTATAAAAAGCATGCTTTTATTGTAATAACTAGGCATATAAATGTTAATATCTGTGGTATAATAATAAGAAAACTCTTACCACACAAGTTTTTAAGAATAACTCATAAACTTCCCTTTAAATAATGACTTAAGTATAAACTATAGAATAAATAGCTTTAAATCTGAAAATAAAACTTTATTCTTTCGGTGCAAGGATTCCGTTTGCGTGAGAGTGTGCGTGTCGTAGTCCTGCCATTTTTGCTTGCGGACGTGCCGCCAGCGACTTTTGCTTTGCTCTCCTTTGTTTGTTTATTTGTGTGCCTTTTTTTTGCCAGTTTTTTTCGCTTTTTTTTATTTTTGCCGCCCAAGTCTATTTGTTTGGCTCTTGCAATAACAACAACAGCACCAGCAGCAGCCATGTAGTAGTGGCAGGATAACAACAATGAGGATAACAACAATGACAACGACAATGACTTTATCCTGACAGATTGTTGAAGCCCGAAGCTTTAGGTCCTCCGGCAGAATCTGCGAGGCCCACTCCAAATGCCTGAATTTGCTGCTCGGATTTGTCAGTAAATTGTTACCATAAATGGTATAAGCGTTGGGAAGGATCTTTAATACCATATCCTACATTATAAATACAAAAAATGACTAAATATTTAATACTAGAAAGTAAAACCAGACTTTGAATGGCATAACTTAAAGAGCGTCTTGGGAATTAAAGCCCCTATTGACATATTTGAACTGGCAA